GCCAAGGCCAACAGTTATGGTCAGCCTCCAGGTGGGCCCTTTATGCTACAGGGGAGCCCCAGAATCAGCAAGCGCAGGTTCTTAGGACCTGGGGGCTGGGGGTGAGGTACAGACTTGGTCACCAGACTCTGGCCCTCTGGCCCAATACATCATGTAAGAAGGGATGGGGCCAGGGGCCTGTCCCTCTGGGCTGAGGCCTTCCGTCAAGGCTGACATTTTTCCTGATGGTGCTTGAAGGACACCCCCTGGGGAGAGAAGCACCTGGACCTTTGCAAGAAGCTGGCTCAAGCAGCCTGAATTTATGCCACTGTGATGGCTCTTGTATAGCCCAGAACCTGAAGGGCAGAGACACCCAGCTGGAGAGGCAGGCCCTCAGGCCCAACCCACCTGTGTGGCAGAATGGTTATAGACATTGGTGTCAGAGCGAGCGGGGTTCCAAGACACAAGCATGGTAGGCGGTCAGGGCTCAATGTCTGAGAGCCCTGGGGCCACCCACCTGAAGTGACCAAGCCTCAGTCTCCACGTGTGGACAGGTGGGCTAACATATGCCTCATAAGGTAGTTGTGTGGACTCAATGAGATAAGCCATGTCTAGTACATAGCACACTGCCAGACACAAATAATAGCTATCATTTATTGAAGAATTACTATCAACTTAGAAAATGGAGAAAATAATACCTAAATTGTGGGGCTGTCATGGGGGAATCAATATAAAGGATACTGATCTCTTTATGGCACAGGGCTCGGTGCTAGAAACTTGGGTTTCCTTCCCCGGTAGGGCCACTCTATCGCAGAGCAGCGACAGCAGAGGAGCAGCTACCAGTGGGGTCTCGAACTCTGCCTTCCCTCGGTAAGAGGCCTGCAGTGCCCCCAAGACTTTGGCTGGGCCCCTTCTTCCCCTAATTCTAAGAGCTCCCCTACTTTCCCAGGGACCCGAGGGATGGGAAGTTTGAGGAAGAAGACAAGGGGCCCCATTTAAACATACGGGGTTCTTTGGGAAGTAAGCCCCATTCTGCCTCTCCCAGAGAATTCCTTCCAGAATTACTGATTTAACTTCCCAGGAACCCGAAGGCAAGAACCAGGAGCTACACCACGGGAGAAAGACATCCCAAATATGCGGCTTAAGAGGAACCACACACAAATGATCACACACCCTGTCCATTTGAAGTCCAAACCATCCTGCAGCTCAAACCCTGTTCTGCCCTCCTGGGCTCCAACGTGGTCAGTGTGAAATGGCCTGCCCTGGGAAAGAGGTTGGTAAGGTGCCAGCTAATTGTGCCCACCCACCCATCTTGCTACCTGGGGTTCCTGCACTATCTCTGCCTCTGAGATCAGCGTCAGGTCTAGCAAGAGTCCAGCCCAAGATGGGTACTTTCATATCCCCATCATCTCATCGAATCTCCCCAACAACTCTGCAGGGCGGGGGCTGGTGTCTCCGCTTCACAGAGGTAGAAGCTGAGGCTGGCAGGGAACAATGAACAATTAGGGTCCCAGAGCCAGGGAGCGACAGAGCTGGGATTCACACAGGGATCTGGCTGACCCTGAAGCCCAGACTTCTGTCCTTCTAGTCTTAAAATGGAAGCTGCTGGTAGACAAGAAAAAGGAGCAGGTAGGTTCTATCTGGAATTTCGATCTCTAGGTGTGCTGGAGGCACAAACAGGCCAGGTGTGCTGCCCGAGATGAATCAGGCCAAAGGTCCCCGATGGCTGTTACGCATTCATTCGTTAATTCAAAAATTATTTATTGAGCCCCTCCCTCCTCTGGGCTGGGGATATAAACACAAATAAGCCTTAGGACTCATCAGGCAGTAGAGGAGGACATCTTGAACAGATGATTCAAATACTGTGTGTTCAGAGTGATAAAAGATGGAAGGACAGGGAACAGGAGAAAGTGAGGAAAGGAAGAGCTCATTCTGCCTGTGGGCCGAGAAAAGGGTCCAGGAGACATGCGTGGTCCTGGAGAGCATGCCTGGTGGAGAAGGGGCGTGAAGGGCTCCCAGGCTGAGGGACATCGGGAGTGAAGGCTGGAAGAGCATGGCGTGCTGGAAGGGAATCGGACACTCAGTGTGGTCTGGTGGACTGGTGTGGCACCAGAAGGGTGGTAGCAAGAGCAGGCTGCCGGATCGCAAAGGGCTGTGGAGCAACATAGGATTATTCAGCAACAGTGACCCTGATCGAGCACTTGCTGAGAGCCACACTTGGCCACAGCTGTACTCGTCCAACGAGAGAGGCAGATCCAGGGCTAGCTGTCCCATGGGTGGGCATGTCACAGTCACTGTGAAGTATTTATGAATTCAAGAACCAGCAACCAGCGTGTGCTAGCACTCCCTTCGTGCCAGGCACCAAGCCATGGCCCTCCAGACATCCTCTCGTAATCCCCACAGCCCTGCGAGGCAGTGGCTACTGCCTCCCCCTTACACAAGAGGAAGCGGAGGCTTAGAGAGGTTAGGAAACCTGGCTCGAGGTGGCCCAGCTAGCACAGCTGAGCTGGCTCAGGCCTGCCCACCTGCCACTGTGGGTCCCTGTGCCGAGTGCCAAGCCCAGGGTTCAGGCCTCATTCTGTGACTGTGGGTCTGTGAGTGGGGGCCTTGCTCCTCTCTCCCCATGCCTGGAGGTGGGCAGAGCTGGAAGTGCCTCTCCCCCTCCTCTGAGACCAAAACTACAGGCACCCTCCCCCTCTGCCTGATCCTTCTCCGCTCGGCTGGTCCTCCCAATGACCTGTCACTGCCACCTACTCTCTGCATGGCACTTTTCCGCTTAACACCTTTTTAACTTACGAAAACTAGTAACAGTCCCTACTTTGCAAATTCAGGCTAAAACTAATTAGTAAAACCCAAATGCTTTATATAACGGACGGCTTTTGGGGAAAAAAAATAACTCTTAGAATGTGTATTAACATTTTTTTGCAATGACAAATGGGTCACCTGCATGTCCACCATACCAGATTTCATGAGCATGTCCTACTAGAGGGTCTTAACAGTGCTGACTGGCTTTGTATCAGGCTGAAGGAGTCCTTGCGCAGAGCTGGGACTCAAGTGCCTGGGCATAAAGCAGCTCAATTCAGCATCCACCAGGGGCTCAGGTACTTCCCACATTTGTAAAATTCTAGAGAAGGCAGGTACCGCTGTAATCCACCACCCCCATTTTACAGATGGGAGAACCAAGGCTCAGAGAAGTTCTGCGACTTGCTTGTTGACCATAAACCCAAGAGGCCTGGTGATGGTGTTCCTAGGACTGGCTGGAGGTGGTTCTCTCCCTTCTCCTGGCCTAACAAAATGCGCCCAAATACGGGTGTCACGCCACCATCTTGGGGGGGCGATTTTGTGTTCACCCAGAGAGTGGAGGCACCGCTGTCTTTTCAAATGGTGTGGCGGGAGCTTCCGCGCTAGGTCAAACCTCCACTCTGGGCTCTCCCCAGAACCCCTCCCCACACAGCCAGCAGCAAAACCAAAAGGGCAATGGGAGGAGTTGAACATGACTGCAACTTGGGGTGGGGTGGGGGGGCAGGTTACTTGTGCGAGAGCCAAAGTCCAAAAAAAAAAACAACTAGGGAATGGCAAATCGATGCACTCGGCACAAAGTTCAAACTGGATTTCTGCCTGGGACCAGAGGTCATAGGTTTCAACTCCCTGGTGCCAAACCCCTGCCAGGGGTGCTCCGACCCCTCCCCAGTCCTTGCCAATGCTAGCCTGGCAGCAGCAGGAAGTGGGAGCCGGGCAGCCCTGGTATTCCCGGCACCCAGCTCTGGCTGGACAGGGCTCCTGGTGACCTCACTTCCTTCACTGCCACTAAACCAGTTGGTTCTCTTGAGCTCCAACTTCTACCTTAAGGTTGAACTAAAAGTGCCCTTTCTCTGTCCAGGGAGGCTCCTGCTGGCACCACTGACACCCCTGTCACATGATGCCACCAGGTGGAGAGCTGGTGCGAGCCAAATGGGCCCTGGGGAGGCCTCCCCCACTTCACTCTCTGGGAACAGGAGGCTCCTGTTTGGCCACTGCCCCTCCTGCAGCTGATCCAAACTGGGCTCGTTTGGGGAAACATCAAACATAGGCAAAAGGCAACCAGCCTGCTTGCTGTCTGGGAACTAGAGTGAGACAGATGATGCCAGGGCAGGACCACCTGCCCATGGTGAGCCCGGCTGGCCAAGTATCATGGACCACTACCTCCCCTCCCTCTCCCCAGCCATTTCTCCTCCTCCAAGGTCCTCCCTCCCACTGCCAGATACAAGCAAGCGCTTACTCCTCACATTCCTGAGAATCATAAATCCTCCTGGGTGGTAGAGCTGCCACCACCCTGAGGCCTCTGCACCTCTTCCCCGCACCCCACCCCCACACACTGCCCTGAGAAGTAGGGCTTCCTCTCTCTCTCTCTCAGAAGTCACAGGCCGGACTTCAGAAGGATGAAGTCCAGCCGGGCTGAAGTTAATGATACACACACCAGCGGGTTGGAGGGAAGAGGGGATGTGTGGGGAGAACCCGGCCTGCGAACGCTCCCCTCCCAGCGCTGCGGCTCCGCACACAACTGGGGTTGTTATTCCCGTAGCTTTTTGAAGTCGGGGCGCGCTCGCTTCACTCCAGCTTCTGTTACCACCCACAGTGGCCGGGGAGGAAGCTGGCACCTCTGGGGCGGGGAGGGCGAGATTGGCGGTCCCGAGGAATGGGAGCACTCACTACCAACAGAACCCAGAAAAACAGGACTGGGCTCCCTTGAGCCGCCCTCCTTCGCCCCACTCCCAAAGGCCAAGGGACAAGAGGTGCACGTGGTAAAGGCGCTCAGGGTCCCAGCCCAGTCTGGGGAAGGGAGTAGGGGTAGCGGGACGCAGCCCCCAAGCCTGCAACTGCCAGTGCGCCCCGTCGGCTGGCGGAAGCAGTCCCTCCCTCGAGGATCGAGTTTCAGAAAGACAAGGCGGGCGCAGGACTGGGAGTCCCGGGCGCCTGGTTTCTCCTCGATCCCCCCTCCCACCCCGTTCCAGCCTCGGCCCTCGGCCTGGGCCCGCACTTACCCGCTCCGGAGGGCTCTTCTCGGCCTCGCGCGGCTCCGGCGCGGCAGCCTGCGGCTCATTGTCGCCGCCAGCCCCCAGCGCCTCGGCGGCGGCCGGCGCCTCGGCCTGCCCGGGCTCCTCCCGGGCGCGCAGCAGCTCCTCCCGGATCTGGACGCCCAGCTTCTGCAGCCGCTCGTCCGTCTCAGGGTCGACCACCAGCAGGCGCACGGCGTTGAGCGCGGCGCGAATGCGGCTCACCACCTGCTGGTGGGTCTCCTTCTCCACGTTCTCGCCGTTCACCTCCACCAGCCGGTCTCCGGCCAGGAGCCCCGCCTTCTCGGCTGGCGAGCCGGACTCCACCAGCCGGATGAACTGGCCCATCTTGCCCTTCTCCCCGTGCAGGTGGAAGCCGTAGCCGTTCGGACCCTTCTCCAGGCAGCAGAGCCGGGGCAGGGGCGCCCCGGCCGCCGCGTCCGCGCTCATCTCGCTGTGCGACGGCTCAGCAGCGCGCCGTGGGGTCCAGTCGGGGTCCGGAGACGGGACGGTCCAGCCCTTCTCCTCGCCCTGCGGACCAGGAGGCAGGAGCGAGCGCAGCAGGGAATCGCCGCACCGCGGGACAGGCCGAGCGAGCAGGTGCCCTGGCAGAGGCGGCCACGAACTGCGAGGAGCCAAAGCGGGAGCGCGCGGACCAATCCCCGCCCGGCGCGGCGTCTGAGCTTTCCAGAACCCGCCCCGGCCCCTTACCCCGGGGGCGGGGCCGCGCGGAGGGTGTGGGCCACCACGGGCCAATCAGGGGCCACGGACAGGGGGCGCTCTGGCCGGGTGAAAGACGCCGGCCAATGGGAACGCGCAGGGGCGGGGCCGTGCGCTCCGCGCGGCCACCCGCGGCGGGAGAAGAAAGAGGGCTCAGGAAGTGAAAGTGTTTGTTACCAAGTGGCCGGAGTCGAGGCGGGGGGCGGGGCGAGTTCCCGGTACAGGGCGGAGGGACCCGCAGGCTCTGTTCTGGTTTCCCCCACCTGTGGCTGGGATTAGGGAGAACCAACCCTTGGGTAAAGGACCCTAACATTTTAACAGCCTTTAGCGAAAACCTTGTGTGCCACTCCAATCGAAGGGGGAGACTGTTGTCGAAGAAACCGCTCCTGCTCCGGGGCTGCGAGGTCCCAGCGGTCTTACAAATACGACGGAGGTCCACCTCGGACCCAACAGAGTTGTTTGAATAACGGTATTTTCCCATTTGCGGAGTCACGTTGCGCTGTCCCGGAACCTGCTTATAGGGGTGAGGGCTCAACAGAGAGCCCAGGCTTCTCGGGGCTGCCCACTGAAGACAGGCCACCTAGGGCAATGGCTTGGGCACTGGCGTCAGTGTTTGGCAAGGGAGATGGGGTGGAGAGAGGCAGAACAGAGTCAGGTAATCTTGAGTATAGCTACAGGGCAAAGAGACCTGGCTTTTTTCAATAAAGAAAAATGATTAGGACCGAAAGATAAACCTTCTTTCAGGTGCTTCTTGCAGATGAGAGGCTGGTCACGGAGGCTGGGGACAGTCTGTAAAGGGTGAGGTGACCAGTTGGGGACATTGAAGGATAAGGATCAAATGAATCTGGCAGTCAATGACAGTTCTTCCAATACGTAGTAACAATCCTTTCAACATGATCCCTAACCCCCGCACAACTCAGAGAAGCAGTGGACAGTGTGTACTTTCCGAAACACTGCAATTTAATTCCGAAAAACACAAATGCTAGAGGCCCAGAGCAGCCTACGTGATTGGATCGCCTGTGACCTGCCTTGGGCCCCAGAAGAGCCCAGCAAAGTCATACTCCTCCCTGCTCTGCCTGGGAGAGGCCCCGAAGAGCTTCCTTATCTGGCCCAAGTTGGAGCTGCTGACTCTGCTCAGAGAGCAAGATTTCTGCCTTGGAAGCAAATGCAGTAGCCTTGGAAATATGCACACCTCTTTCTCAACCCTCTCCCCCACCCCTGGCCTGGAGAGCTGGAACAAAGGTGCCTCTCCCTGGCAGCTGGCCTGGAGAGCAGGAGTAAGGTGCTGTAGGTCGTGACCTTCATGGATCCAGTCCCCTTCTGATTGCTGGGGTCAGGGCTTTCGGAGAGATATGACCTTCGCTCACAGGAACTCCTTGCTGCCCCTCTCCGCACCCCAGTCTTACCCATATGACCTTGTTTTGCACACATCACGTTGGTTTACCAGAAATGGATGACCTCCTACTCCCTCACCTGGCTCAGTAGAAGGGGAGATAAAGCAGTTTTGGCCCTGGTGTCTGTCTGAGAAGAAACGGGCGTGGGCTTCAGGGAGGAGGCAGTGCTTGGATTTAGGGGGATCCACGTGGGGTGAGGTTTGCTCAATTCTGCCTCCCACCTGTTCCAGGGGTCAGGGGTTTCTCTTTGTGTGGCTCTTTATCCAGTAGAAGCACGACAGCTGCTTGAAGAAGTAGCCTGGGGGCTGCATACCTGCCAAAGGGTTGGGACAGAAGACCAATCTTTTCCTAGCTGTGACCTTAGGTGTCGAGGGGCACAAGCAGAAAGGTAGTTAGGACCAGGGATTCAGGGAGGAGGGGCTTCCGTGGGATCTGAGATCCAGAGAACAGGAACTAAATGTTTCCAGTTGCTTGTGGGCTGGAGGGAAAGGGTACACCTCCCCAAGGGGGCTGGTAAGGCCAGAGGTAGCCAAGCAGACCTAATCTCTGCTACTCCTCTCTCCCCCTCCCAGGGAGCTGGGTCCCTGCCCAATCTCCACATCTCTTATCTCCCCTGAGGCTTTGGTCTAGCTCCAGCACAAGGGCCCTGTCTTCCTGGGGAAGATTGTTCCCTGGCAAGCTGGAGGACATGACGGCTGGGGTCTGCTCAGCTCCTCTCCGGCTGAAGTGAGCGTGGGAATGGAGCCACTGCCTGCCCACACGCCCCAGAAGTGCATCAGGGTCCCCTGGGGCTGAGCTGAGCAATACTGCCCTCATGGTGGCTAGGAGGAAGGCCTGGCTCCCTAAGTCCTAGCACTAGACGGCAAAAGGGCCACCAGATCTTTACCTGGGCTTTCTGTCACCCCCCCTTTTTTAAAAAAATTAAATTATGTATCATTAAAATGAAATATAAATATTTTCCCCTCCCTGGGGACGCAGGGAAGCTACAGGAACTAGGTAGGGCAGGAGTACAGCTGTCTCTTGGGAAGGAGGGGCTGTGCACTGAGTCCCCCTGTTCTCTCCCCACTGGCTCAGCTGCTCAGAGTAAACCAGGTCTGGGGGAGAAGGCTGCATCCTCCTGGGCCTCTGGAGCCTCCCCTCAGCCCCTGGGGATTCACAAGAAGGAGCAGCAGCCGGGCCGCTTCTTCTGGGACTCCACGTAGTCTCGGATCTGGAAGCTGGGTTCATTGGCCTGCCGCCCGGCTCTGTATTTCAGCTCCCTTGAAGAGGAAGAGGGAAATGGGCTGGGCGAGGAGTGAAGAGCTGAGCAGCCTCCCCTCTCCAATGGCCCCGGGCAGATGGACCTCGGAATGCAGAATGCAGTTGGGCCCAGGGGCTGGGCCAGAGGCCAGGCCCTACTGGATTCCCAGATGGTGCCACCCTGCCCCACATGGTTCCCTTCCCTGCTCAGCTCTCACTTGGCAATGGCCAGAAAGGCTAACTCCACATTCATGCCTGTCTTGGCGCTGGTCTCCATGAAGGGAACTCCGTACTCCTGCCAGGGAGAGAGTATCCTCAGGGCCAGCCTCTGGCTGCCCCGACCCCTCACCCTGCCCACAGGCAGTCACTTACCCTGGCCAGCATCTCTCCATCCTCCGAACGGATCACTCGTTCACTGCTCACATCCGCCTGTCAAGCCCAGGTGGGTCACTCTGGGGAAGGAAGCCTTGACCCCACATGGCCCCTCTTCTGCCCCTGGCTGGCCCATCTTTTGCCCCATGAGCAGGTGCTGCCCACCCCCTGCTGGTGGCCTGTGGGACTGCAGGTGTTATGATTGGCATGGGGCCAGGGTTTCTGTGCGGTCAGACTGAGTTACCCAGCTCCTAGCCCTGGGATCTCACTCCTCCTGGGGGAGGTGGGTGACTCTCTTGGCAAGTGTGTGGTGAGCCAGCCTCAGAGGAGTGACAGTACTTAGGGCTAACCCTTTCCAGTCTTAGCTCCTCATGTGTGACCCTCATGGCTCTCTCAAGTAGGAGCTTGAGCTTTCCTTGCAGGGGATCACTTCCAAAGCTTTAAGAGGGCAGGTGGGATGGGATGAAGGTGCCAAATAGGTCTGACTCCTGAGCTGGAGACTGAAAGAGTCCTTCCCTGGAAGGATGTCCAGCTAATACTCTTGGGTGGCTATGGGGCTGGGTAGAGCTAACGCTGTTGCAGTGGGAGACGAGGGGAGGGGTCGGCTGTCCCTGCTGGGGAGCCACTCACCTTGTTGCCTAGCAGCATGATCACCACATCCCTCTGGGCATACTCATGGATCTCAGTGAGCCAGGCCTGTGCGAGAGGGTGGGCTGAGCCAGGCTGAGGACGGGCACCAGCCACTCACCCACTCCCTCTCATTCTTCCTTCTTCTGTTTGATTATCCTGGGCTACTCACTGCCCCTCCCAAACACGATGTCCTGTGCATTGTCTCATCTGCATTTTTGTTCTGGTCTTTCTAGTCTGGAGTGTCACCAAACCCCATGGAATGCAACTCCCAGTTCTATGGAAGATAGAGGTGGCAGAGGCTTCATCTCAATCAGTTGGTTGTCACCGCGATTTCCTGGAGTGCCATGTTGGGAATTTTATGGCCATATAAGGGCTCAGTGATGAAAAATACTGATTAATTAGTGATGTCTGCCATGAGCATGGAGTTGGAGGTGGCAGTATGAGTGCCATGGATTTCCATCCAGTTTATAAGCTGTTTTATATCTGCATGTCTTGTTCCCCCAGTTTGTCAACACTTTGAGGTCAGGAAGCATATGGAACCTTTACGTTACTGTGCTCAGAGTCAATGCTTGTATTTGTTCAATTATTACCTCTATTTTCTAATAGTTTGTTTGTGAGAACAGAGCCACTCACTCTGCATTCCTGAGTCACTGTCTTACAACTGGGGCTGGATGTGTGCTTTTTCTGCTTTTCTGCTCGGGCTCTTCGCTTGGTTTCTGAGCGTAATTGTCCAGGATGGAGCTAGGGACTTTCTGAACACTTTCTTGTGAAACACACTCATGAATTACAGTCAGGGCTAAGAAGGTGGCACAGGCACACAACAGCCTGCTTGGCTTCCTTGCCCACACGCCAGTCAAATGCCCGGGAGCAGCTTATTACGTCTGAGTCACAGCTCAGGTATTTTTGAGAAGATAGTGGCGTTCCATGCTCCACCCTCTTCTCACAAAGCAGGAAGCAGTCCCTGCCTGCACAGACCCTGCCTTGGATGCTTATGGGTGGTGGGCAGGGAGGACCTACCCGGATGTTGTCGAAGGAAGACTTGTTGGTGATGTCGTACAGCAGGAGCAAGGCTGCCAGGGGGAAAGAGAGGTCATACTGGGGACTTGGGGCAGAAGGTGGGTGGTCCAAGTGGGTTGGGGGAAGGAGTTGGAGGGCACAAGTGACTTACCCTGGGCGTCTCGGTAATAAGCGTGGGTGACACTGCGGAACCGCTCCTGTCCTGCTGTGTCCCAGATCTAGGAAGGGACAGATAAACGGTCAGAAGGAGGCAGGGGGCAGGGACTGTGCTGGGCAGAGAAAGACCGTGTCGTGGTACGGGGGAGGTGTGGGAAGGTGGGATCTTTCCTTCTTTAGGTTCTCATGGGCTTCTGAACATCTGATGATGTCCTGGACTGTGGTAGTCACTGAGTTCTCAAGCTCATTCAGTGCTGTCGCCTCTTCCCCAGCCCAGGGGCTTAGGGTGTCCAACCTCCTAGAGCAGAGGAGGCCCAGGAAACTGGGGAGGAGATAGAGGGAGCCTAAGCTTGTCTGAAGGCACTTCGGGCTGCCTCTGATGGAAGAGAGGGCGCCTGGGAACTGCTTTGTCTGCAGACATCAAACAAACAAGAGCTGTTTCCTCTCTGGGCCCCCACAGGAAATTACCCCAGGCTGAGGGCAGGGCTGCAGGCCTCCTGTGGTTTGGGTGAGGAGCAAGGGCAGGCTCTGCCCTCCTCTCCCTCCCCTGCAGCCTCTGGTCTCACCTGTAGCTTCACCCTCACACCATCCACGGTCACCACCTTGTTCTGAAAGAGAAAAAGGCAGAGGGAGAGGTGGGTGCCAAGGACAGGGAAGGCTTGGCTCCCGTGCTCTGCTGACACCCTGCTGAGGAGCAAACATCCTGTCCTGGTCACTCCCCAGGGCTAGAGGGGATGTGGTGAGCCCCAGACATGTCTCCAGCCAGATCACCCCATCAGGGCAGCGGGACCCTGCACCCAGATGCCCTCACTGCGGAGCCCTCTCTTCTTCCCCCCATGCCAGGGCAAGAGAAGGTCTGAGAACCTGCCTGGCTCTGCCAGGGCTCAGCAGGCTCCACAGGGCTGGACACTGGGGGCACTGCCTCTTCCCCACTTCTATCTGCTTCTCCCGGAGCTCAGTCCCATCCTGCAGCTGAGCCCTTAGAGATGGGATGCCCACCAGCACCCTGGGGACCTCAGAGGCTGGATCTGTAGGGTCATCTTTCCTCCAGCTGCCTGCTGGTTCTCCTAAGTGAAGCTTCCTTGCTCTCCCACTGGGAGGGAGGCCCCCGGCCTCTGCGTAGGCCCACCTGTCCGGGCTAGACCCTTCCCCTCCTGGAGCCTTTGGGTGTGCAGTGCTTGGAGTGCTCTGCATCCCTGATGCAGATTTATAAAGGTGCTGAGAGGGAGGGACCCTGGCAAGCTGCTCTCTCCCCACAGGGCCAGCCCAGCTCTTAAACCTAGCTCAGTGCTGTGCATCCCAGGAACTCCAGAAAGACTGCTTAACTGTTGAGGTCTTGCCAGAGGGGCCCAGCTCAGAGGGTCATGAGCAAAAGGGCTGAGGGCCAGGAAGCTCAGCTCACATGGTGGGATGTCCTTGCCCCGCTCAAGGGCAGAATTTTAAGACTCAATCTCTCACTTCTTATATCCTGTTGGGGGGCAAGGAGGCCACCAAGCCCAGACTCCTCTAACCGGGCTCCCCTGTGGTCCCTAGGGGAGCCGCCCCTGGTGCCTTCTGAGCAGTGAGCCACAACAGTCCTGAGGAGCAAGGTGGGCAAGGAGAGGACAGCACCCCTGGGTCTGAGCTGTAGCCCCCCAGCTGGCTGCTAGGAGGAGGAGCCTGCAGCCACCTCACCCTGAAGTCTATGCCGACGGTGGCTATGAAGGTCCCGGACAGGAAGGCCCCATCTTTGAATTGGATCAGGAAACAGGTTTTGCCGACGCCTGAGTCTCCCAGAAGCATCACCTAGGGGTTGGGGGGCAGAGGCAGTTAATGGGGAGCTGGGGCAAATTTCTGAGTTTCCAGGGAGTGAGGCCCTGGAAAAACCAGGCAGAGGGCCAGGAAGGATGCTGACTGCCCCGAGGGGCACCTGCTTCTGGAAAGCCTGCTGCTGCTTCAGCCTGCCTCTCCTCTCCACACTCCTTGGCTCAGCCTGCCACTCGCGCTCTCCCTCTGACACTCCTGTCCTCACCAAATTTCCTGGAAGCCTGAGTTGAGACCTCAGCACTAAGAGGTCCCCAAATGTGTTCGGTGGCCTGAGAGAACAACCACATTTGTGTGGTCTAGACTCTGGCCACATTTGTCCCCTGCCACACCATGCCAGGATCCCCTCCCTCTCTGTGTGTATTCCACGCATGTGTGCACTCGCGGGCAGGGCTATACCGCCCGGAAGGGGAAGTGTTAATATCTCAGACAGGGATTCCCACCCAAGGGAGTGTATTAGGATCTGATGGAGGTGGGACTCTATTGTTTGCAAAGGCATATTCTAAAATTACAATTTTTTTGGTCACAACATTTATTTGGAAGTTTCTATTGACATTTTGTGTTTATAAAAGGGTTGCATGAATTAGAAAAGGTTGAAATTTATACTGAAGTGGGGAGTCGTTTAGTCTGAATCTCTTACAACAGAAACCTCCCAAGTGGGACAAATGGCTGCCTATTGGCATCCCTGGGTCACTGTAGGGCAGGAAGTGGGTGGGGGTGGGGCGTGTCCCTCCCTTATTGTCTGGCCAGTCTCCTCTCATCTTCTCTGAGGGACATGTGGGGTGGGGGAGGGGAGCCCTCTGTCCAGTCATTCCTCTATCTTGGAGAACAGAGTTCTAGACCAAATAGTGGAATTTTCCCAGCTGGCTGGTTAGCTATTTAATGGGTTGAGCAGGGACTAGGTTTGAGTTCTTTTTAAGGCACTGACCTTGACAATGGAGCCTAGAGGCTTTCCTGCTGTGGGCATGGAGTATGGGATTAGCTAACTTTGGTGGAAAGGTAGGGGGCTGAGCAAAAGGTCCATGAAGGCTGAGGTCCTGGCTTGTAAATGGCCTACTGGGGGACTTGAGGAAGATTCCTTAGCCCTTCTGTGGCATGATTTCCATAGTGGCTGGAAGGGAAGAGAGAATTTCTTTGAGGCCTGTCTAGAGTCTGTTAACGGCTAGGGCCAATAATGTTGGCGTGAACCACCTAAGACTTGGGGAAGAGTGGTCCAGGGCTGGGTACTGCCTGCCTGTGGCCCCCATCCTCTCTAATCCAGCCCACAGAGCTCTGACCAGGCTCCTTCCAGACTGTCCTGGATTCGGTCCCCCAAGGCAGGCCTAGGGCATGCAGGCTGGTGGAGCCAGGGGCCAGCTCCCTGAAGATGTTGCTTGGCCCAGGGGACAGATGGAGGGCCGGGGCTGGGGAGCCCTTTAGAGCCTGCACTGCTCCCTGGCTCCTGGGTCCCAGCCCCTGAGAGGGAAGGAGGGAGGGAGGGCGAGCGCCTGTGTACATTACAGATCACAGCTGCGTTGAGCAAACGACGCCAGCTATCCACCCAGCCAGCGATTCCACCAAACACAAACAGCTGCCCAGCCTTGCCACCCCCCTAGGCAAACAGCCCAGCTGGCTTGTCCGGCAAGGAGGTCAGACGGTCCCCAGCAGCCTAGAGACTGGCCCTCAGCAGCTCCCCCTCCCCTGAACGAAAAGGGGCCCGTTTCCTGCCTTGAGCCCACACAGGACGCCTATCTTAACGGCTCTGGGCGGGTGACTCGCAGAGTGGCTTCCCCTGAAATGATGGGGGTGGAGGCCCCAGGCTCCTAACGAGAGTGAGCCCCGATGTTGGGGGAGGAATCAAAGGAACAGAAAGAGGCAGCTTGCCTTCAAGGCCACGCAGCATGAGACAGTATCCCCAACCCTACAGATGAAGAACGGAAGTTCCAGGCACTCTCAGCACCTCTTTCAGAGTCCCTGGTACCTCCCTGCTCCAGGGGCACGGAGGGAGAGCAGACAGACCAGCGTCCATTGCCACTCCCACCTGCTTCTGTTCAGGACCACCCTGCAGAGGGAAGGAGCCCCAGAGAGCTGACTTAGCTCTCCCAGGTGGGGGACTTGTGACTACTGCTGAGATCTTTCTCAGGTTCTAAAAATTCCTAGGGGCCTGCATTCTGGCTAGTAACATCCTCCTGGAAGGTGCTAGGCAGTGACTGCAGGCATGGAAAGGGGTAGGACTTGGGGGCAGCTGGGAACCTGAAGAATTTCCAGCCTAAGGCCTTGAAATTGATGCCAAGGCTCAGCTGAGCTTAGCTGGGAAAAGGGCATTAACTGCAAGATCCCCCGACGCCAGGGGGCGTCCTCTGCGAGCCTCCAGGGAGCCCCATTTCCTAGCGCTTCGGGTGCGTATGCCCAGGAAGGTTGTGCGCTTAACCCTACCGAGAAGCATGGGGTTCCTGGGTGCTCATATTGGCCGGAGTGCGGCAGAAGAAAATTGGGTTGGGGTCCACAGGGTGGGGAGTCACTCAGTCCTTCCGACCTTCCTTTCTCCGACCCAGCCGAGTCAGCCCAGATCCCTAGAGGCTGGGCTGGGCCCAGGGGCTATGTTTCAACCCTCCCTCCCTGCTCTGGGAGACCCAGCTGCCTAGAGGAAGAGTTGAGTCCAACGCAGACGCAGCGGGGAGGGCCGGGGTCTCAGGGCAAAGGGCGCGGGGACGGGTGGCCCTCGGAGCCGGCGCGGGGGTCCCCAGCGCTGGGCGCAGTGCCCACCCACCTTGCCCGTGAGATCGTAGCTCGGACTGCAGGGCGGGGAGCGCTCAGGAGCCTTGCCATCCCTGGTGGCAGCGGCGCCAGGCGTGCCTGTCATGTCCCCGGACGAGAGGTGAGCTGGGGCAGGCGGCGGGCGAGGGACAGCGAAGGAATGGCCCCGCCTTAGGCTCCACCCACTCCTTCCCCTCTCCACCGCCCCGGCCCGGACCCCGACAGGCTCCTCCTTCCGTCCCGCTACCCCAGTGACACTGGCCCGGAGCGGGCTGTCCCGCGAGGGCGCGAGGACCTCAAGGTCAGCCGCCGAGTGGCAGGCAGGCCTCCTGAGCAACACTGGCCCGGCTTCGTGCTCTGAGGGCATGGACCAAATCCAGCTCCAAGACCGGTCCCCCAAGGTTGCCAGCCTCCGGGGTTAGATTCCCACGGGGAGCGGTCCCTGGAGACCCTGCCTGCTACGGAAGGTGTGGCATTTCTGGCACCCTCGCGCGGGCGCCCGGGTTCTCGCTGCCGCTGCGCGGCGCGGCCAGCAGGCGACGCCCAAGCCCCAGCCAGCGGACGGTCATAGGCACCCCGGGGTCGGGGTGGCTGGGGACGCCCCTGGGCAGCCGGCGGCGCTGCGTTTGAGAGGAGGCGTGCGTTCTGAGGACAGCGCCCAGGCTGTGTCGCTTTTGCTAATACACCCCAGCCCGAGCTCATCTGAATATAGTTTTGTTTACCGACCCGTATTTGCCTGGCAGCACGTGTACACTGGGGTTTTCCCTGGCCCCTGGTGGGTGCTCAGACTTTGACCCTTTAGTGCCATCACCTCTCATGTCTCCCTGACCTGTTGGGCTGCCCCTTCCCCGCACACCTCCCAATCTAGGCGCTCCTGAAGGCAGGGCTGGCCTTATTCAGTGCGGCTCTCTGCCCCTGGCACCAAGTAGGCCTTAGACGTTTGGTATCAAGTGAATTCATAAAGTCGTGGATCATTTTGAGCAGTCTCCAGGACATCCAGGGAACCCTGCAGCTCCTGGTGACAGGGTCGGAATGTGTCCTGGGTTGCCCATAGCAGAGTTCTGGGGCCCTGTGGCCTCGGCCAACCCTTCAATAACCCCGTCCCAACAGAATAAGGCAGGTGCATGACAAAGGGACTGTTTGAGGGGCGTGTAGGGGGGTGGGGCACCTGCATCTCTTAGCTTAGGTGTTTCGGATGAGGAGCAAGGGGCAGGCGTGGCTTATAGGCAACTGTAGGCCTGGTGGGGACTGTGTGAGCACCCGCCTCCAGCCCTGTGATTTCTGGCATCAGCTGGAGCTATTTTCTGGAGGTGAGTGTGCCGTAATCTCATCTGTACATAGGGTGGGACTCAAACAGAGAGCACTGTGTGGGAGAGGAGAAGTTGCACAGCACTCTGCAGATGCTGTGGTTGCCTGCTGCTGGGTGCCAGAGGCTCTTGTTACAAATAACACTGCAGTCCACTCGGTGCCCTGGGCTCTGGCTCTGTTGGGCTCACCAGGAAGTCTGCAGGGGCGAGGGTGTTCAGTGCAAGAGGGTAATGGCCCAGGAGGAAGGAAAGAGGGCAGGTGGCATGGCGCTCGCTTACCTTCTACTTCAAACATGCCCCGATAGGCCGTGTCCCTCAAAAGAGCTGTTGCAGTCCTGGCCCCCAGTACCTCAGAACGTGACCTTATTTGGAAATAGGGTCATTGCGGATGTAATTAGTTAAGCTGAGGTCATAGGAGTAGGGTGCGTCCTTAATCCAATATGACTGGTGTCCTTATAAGAAGAGAAGATGCACAGGGACAAGACGGCCGCATGAGAACACAGGCAGAGACTGGAGAGATGCATCTACGAGCCAAGGGATGCCAAGCATTGCCAGGAGCCAGCAGAAGCTGGAAGAGGCAAGGAAGGATCCTCCCCTTGTTAGAGGGAGTGTGGCCCTGCTGACACCTTCATTTTGGGTTTCTAACCTCCAGTCGAGGTTTGTGTTGTGGGCTTGACCGAGATGCTCTTTGTCCTGTGGTAGGTTTGGAATGGAGCAGATGGCACATCAGTGTGAATGCTCCAGAAGTAGCAGAGAAATAAAAGCGCTATCTTGCTACGTGGGCTGCGCTGATGGGACTGAGGGAAGAGGTCCACGAACATGGCGGAGAGGTGCAGTGGGCTCTCCCCTGGGCCATACCTGTCCGGCTCGCTGGGTCTGGGGCATGTGGGCAGTCTCATATGCACAGTATGCCACACACTGTCTGCCAGGACATGGCAACATCAGGTGGCGTGTTCAAGGGCAGTCTTGAGTGAGTCAGAAGTGGGTCGGGGTGAGAGATGTTCCGAGCAGGTGCGGGGGAACTGGGTTTCACCCCAGAGAGAGGAAGCACAGCTCACTAAGGCACAGGGCTCTTGAGATGTGGTGGCCAGGAGGGGGCCCATCGAGAACACAGCCTCCAGGAAGTCCAGGCCTCCTGACTTCCTTTCCAGTGCTGTGTACCACCGTGGGAGTCTGCATCTCTTCCCAAACACACACACACACACGCACACACACAACTCACTCCATGCACACACCTCATACCACACCACAGACATACACACAACCTCTTATTCCACATACATGCCCTACACCATGCACACCTCACATCACACCACAGACACACACAAATACCTCAAATTATACCACCGGTATGGGGTTCCCTTGGGTTTGTGTCCCAGCTGAGGAGGAGGGTATGTGCCCATCTGTATGCCCATCAGACCCGTGTGTCCCCAGGCTCAGGCCTGGGTCAGGACTTCAGGCCCTCACTCAGAGTAAGCTGCCCACGGGTTCGTCCAGAGGTGAATCGATTTGTCCCAGTGCTGACTGGTGCCACGCAAACTGCCGCGGCTCTAAAAGGCCCGGCCCGAGGAGACAGGGAGCGCCCGGCCTGTCCTGTCTCTGGCTCCTTCGGGTTCTCAGTTTGACCACACACTCTCTTCCTTCTCACAAGCGAGTTGCCTCACTTTTCTTACCAGGATAGTGACAAAATTTGGAGGTCCCACACCTGTGCATCTGTGGAATGTGAGTCAGAATTTGCACCCCCACGCCCATAGCCATCCCACTGTCCGCCCTCCATGTCTGAGGGGGGAAGGGCAGGCGTGGAGTGGGCGAGGAGACGTGCATGTGGTTGCGGGGGCACCATGTGTCCTGTGTGCTGGGGGGCAGACCTGGCATGGGCCCGCGGCGAGGGACGCCTGGCACCAGACATCCTGGTTCGCTTCATGGCAGCCTGGTCCAAGGCCTCAGGGATTTCCAGGCCCGTCTTGCCTCCTGCGACTCAGCATGCCCTTCCCAGCCCTTTGGAGCCAGCGGCTCCCTGTCCTGAGAGAGCCCAGGCGCTGGTGTTTCAGGCTGGATTCCAGCCCTGGCACACACCCTGGCCAGGCTCTCGTTCCTGCTTTACTCAGAAGCCCTGCCCAACCCTTCCTCACTGTTTGCAGAACTTAGGCAAGCCCAATTTCTGGGGTTCCGTCTCTCTCTTCCCACCAGTGTGGTGCTGCTGTATCCCAACCCGAGTGTGGCCTCGCAGGCCCTGTGCTCTGCTTGGTCCCAGAGGCTGGCCTCTCAAACACCCGTGCTGCCCAAGAAATGACATTTGCCCTTTCCTAACACTGGACACTGGGATTCTGGAGACTCCAACGGAGGGCCCTCTCCTCTTGATACCGTCCAAGAGAGGAGCGAAACCCTCTGCAAAGGCCTTCCCAAGACTCCAGGGTCACTGAGAGCAGCTGGCAGTGTGACAGTGGAGAGAAACAAGGGTGTGTGGTAGAAGGGGACTTCCCGGCTATGGATAGAGAAAGCTTGAGAATACTTCCTTAATCTGAGCCGCCCCTCTGTGCTGTGTTCAGGGAGAGACAGTGCTAAGAACTGAACTTTAACCCTTGACCTGTCAGCGCCCTAAGACCCCACAACAATGCTAAGTTTGGACTGTGCTTAAAATTTTAAGCCATCCTTTGCTTCTCCAGATTCATCTTGCCCCGGAAGGTGGACCTGAGCAATCTGTATCAAGATACTCCCTTGCTTTCTCGCTTTTAGTTTTGTTCAGCCAGTGGGGAGCCCCAGAAGGAAAGTGAGGAGCAGAAGGAGAGTAGAGTGGGAGGGGGCCAATTTATTGCCTAGGATGATTACTGTGGGCAGCTGTGTCCCTCCCCTGAGAGTCACAGCTCCTGCCAGCTGGCCCTCTCCACACAGCCCTCTGCCCCTCATTCTGGTGGCGGTTCCCTCCTCTCACCTTTTTTAGGCCAGGAGTGGGCTGGAGGCCCTGTAACTGCCCAAGGGCACTGCACCTTCCCTGATGGTTTCTCAGCCCCCTGCCTACACCTTGGTAAATAGTCTTTTTATTAAACCTCCTTGGATGATCCAGTGTGAGTGTCCACCTGGTGCCTGCTGGAACCCCGACAGGCGTGCCAAAGCCCAGAGCCTGAGAGTGCTTACCGTGAATCCGATGCCCACTGTGGCCGAGAAGGAGCCTGGGATGAACTTGCCCTGGTCGAACTGAACCAGCAGAGATGTCTTCCCCACGCCACTGTCGCCCACCAGGATGGTCTGAAAGGGAGCAACAGAGAGAGGTAAGGGCCTGCAGTATGAATTAGGCTTCTGAGATGTCGTTGTGGCTGCGGGAGTAGACTCCTTCTAAACACACAGGCATGTGTGCACACACACCAACACATATGCACACACAGTTGCACACATACACAGAAGCACACACACACACACACACACACACCCAACTCTTGATGTTTTTTCTTTTTTCTGAGGAAGATTGGCCCTGAGCTAACATCTGTTGCTAATCTTCCTCTTTTTGCTTGAGGAAGATTCAACCTAAGCTAACGTCTGTGCCAGTCTTCCTCTATTTTATATGTGGGTTGCCACCACAGCATGGCCACCAGTGAGTGGTGTAGGCCTGCACCTGGGAACCCAGGCTGCCAAAGTGGAGCATGCCAAACTTAACCACTAGGCCATGAAGTGGCCCCAAACTCTTGATTTCCTATCAAAGTCATTGAAGAAGGCATGAAAGCATAGAGGAAGTCTCATTTCAACCCAAGGTAATAAACATCAGTAATAAACCCGAGGTGACCAGGAGAATGTGCCCATCAGACATAACTGGCTGAGGCCCCACTGCTGTGCTCTGCCATCCATTACCAGTGTGTTTGCGCTGAGGTCACACTTCCCGTCAGCAATTCCTAGCCAGAGGCAGAGCATGGCAGAGACATTGAGGCAGGCCTGTTCTTGGGAGACACAGGACTCCCCTAATGGCTGACTTGGGCTCAAGGACTCCCATACAGTTTTATAGAAACTTCCGGACACTGCATGGTGGTCCAGGACACTTCCACACAACCTCCCTGCCCTCTCTCTTTCACTTGGGGTCAGCCCTGCTTCATGGTCTGACGGCTCTCCCTGCCTCCCCGGGTTCCTCTCCCATTTCTCTCAGAGGTGTTCCCCCTAATAAAATCCCACATTTAATTTCCTTTTGGCATCTGCTTCTTCGGAGACTTGGACTAACACAATGGGTCCCCTGTATGGGAAATTCTGAAAAAAGTCTATAGAATTAAAAAAAAAATCAGCGTGTCTGGCTACGTGCCTTGGGAAGAGTTTTCACTTGGCCCTGGAATGAGGCCTTGGAGAGGACAACATTCAAAGGGACAACATCCACATTCTACTGAATTTGGGAAAGAGGGGAAAGGCCACTTCTGTGCTGGGAGGATGAAGCGGGGAGAATCAGCATGGGAGTGCAAGTGCTGTATGTGAAAGAAAATCATAAGCAGCAGAGAAGAAATATATGATCACTCAGGGCCTGGTACCCAGCCGTCTCTTGATGAATGAATGAATAAATGAATGAATGAATGGATAAATGCCTTAGTTTCAAAGTGAGCAATATCCACTTTCCAAAGGCAAGCATTTGAGGTCATTGAGAAGGCTTAGAAGATGCCAACTTTAGCTGGACTTGCAAAAACATAAAGACATAAAACCCAAAAATGTAAAAGCATAAAGATTGACACAGCCTCCTTGGGTCGGACCCATGGCCCCAGCACTGTTCAGCTCTGACAGCGGCATCAAATCTGTAGAAGTGGGGCTGGCCCCATGGTGGAGTGGTTAAGTTCACATGCTCTGCTTTGGTGGCCCAGGGTTTTGCTGGTTTGGATCCTGGGCGCAGACATGGCACCACTCGTCAGGCCACGCTGAGGCGGCGTTCCACATGCCACAACTAGAAGGACCCACAACTAAAAATACAGAGCTATGTGCTGGGGGGCTTTGGGGAGAAAAAGGAAAAATAAAATCTACAAAAAAAGGGAAAATCTGTAGAAGGGCAAACATGAGGTTGTCCATGATGTTGACTTTGGACGTCCCCTGACTATGGTCCTTCGCCCTCACTTCCCAAACCAAATTCAATTCAGCTTTTATTTCCTCCTGGGTTAAAGGGCTCCATTTGTTTGTTGTGTGCTGTGGCTTTAATGATTTACATCTCAAATCCTTTTTATATCCAAATTCCTCAGGCTTGAAGAAGTGCTTCCCAGAGAGAGTATTCCAGAATGTGAGGGGTCAGTCTATCCATGTCCACCTTGTTCATTTACTAAAGGGTATGATAGATTCTAATTCTTTTCCCTTTTATCCTTTTCCTTTCCAGGGTGAAGAGTTCCCATCAATTTCTTCTCTCATCATATGAAAATGGTTCCATCTTCTTAGGACCTTTTCTGGTTCAGTGGGGACATGGTCCAGGGTGACAGGGTTCAGCATTTCAGATCCAGCTGAATCCTGCCCGGGAAGAGGGGCTGGATGATGATGCTCTTGTATTGGCCTTTTCAGAAACAGCAGCCCGTGGAGATGATCGCATCAGGAATCAGTTGATGACTCTAAGAACACTTTTCTGGACCACAGTGGAGAGTTCAGAGCTGATCAATTTACAAACGTTATTGAATTATTTCTCCCTAAATCCAGGACCTCCCTCAGACCTGGCCCTCCTCTGTTTGTGCCCCCCTCCGTGAAACATGTGATTCACAGGCCAAAGACCCGTGTTCCTTCTATTGACTAGGCTTTGCCCCAAGCTCCCTGCTAGTGTTGCATTCCCACATCTGAGGAGTGGCCAAGGGGTGGCTGTTTGCAGGGGTGTGGACGGAGCATGGGTGTGAAGGCTGGGATGTCCACGCGCATTCTCCTGAGGACCTTCTGGGTGTGGAGTGTGCAGGAGGGGGAAGAGCAGGGGAGTGGCTGTGGGTGGGAGCTGAGGACCGGTGGATGGCTGTCACTAGGCTGTCATGTTTTGGTGAGGAATTTCTGAGAATCCCATGTTCAAACCTGGCTTCCAGGTCAGTAGGCAGGTTTATTTGTCAAGGTAGGAAGGTAGGACATACTTGATTTGATAGTTGTTTTAGCTTGATTGAGAACATTAAGATATTGAGACATATGGTATATGGGCCCCTATTTGTATTCTAGGGCGGGTCCTACAAATGTTAAAGATAGCCTGCCTAAGTCCATTATCTTACAATGGAGTTTCTCTCTCTACTCAACAGCTTCCAGGATTTTCCTGAAGTTTCTTCAGGCGGACTCCAAATTTCACTCCTTGGAGAAGCCGAATGTCAACTTCAGATCCAGATTTTCCACTGCACCTTCCCTCTTCTGGACTGTTTATGAAAATGTTAGTTAATTGTGGTTCTGACAGAAACTTCCGTGTCAACTTCACCACCATTCGGAGAAGTATCTTTTTTCTCTTTTCTTAAGTCATTTTGTCTATGTTTGTATTTGTGCCTCATCCACTTCTAAAAGGGATTTGAGGTGGTTTACAACAAAACCCACATATACACGAGGGCTGTTAAGAATACTGCCTGAGGAAAACTTCCCCAGGGCGAGGCTATGCTGTTCGCGCATTTGAGCGTTTTGTTTGGTTCTAGATTTCCTGGCAGTCAAGACAAAATGAGAAACCAGATGGGGAGTGCGGTGCTTATTGCTGATGAAGCCGGTGAAGGATGCCTGAGTCCTTTCAATCAACGAGTATTTTCTCCTGGCCTGCGATACTGAGAGGAATCTCTCATGTGGATTCTTATACAAGGGGCCCTGAATGACAAAGTGGGCACTGTAATTTTACAGAAGATGCAGAGCTTTTCCTACAGCGTTTGTATTGGCCCTTGCTGGAAACTGGGGCGTAGCATTAAATCATACTTTGATGGAGGCTTCTCAGCGGGAGTTGGGCTAGTGCTGCCTGAATACATTGCTTTCCTGTGACTCTGCGATTCAGGGGAACACTGAGAAAACCTAGACGAGTGGCGTGCTTATCACGGCTCCTAAAGTGGCGTTGAGCAAACTTCTAACAAGACAGGAAATTCTGATGCCATAAAGAAACAGATCGATAGATCTGACTGCATGGAAATAAAAACGTTCTGGAGGCCGGCCCCATGGCCGAGAGATTATGTTCACTTGCTCTGCCTTGGCAGCCTGGGGTTGGCTGGTTTGGATCCTGGGTGCAGACATGGCACTGCTCATCAAGTCATGGTGTGGCAGCGTCCCATGTAGGGGAACTAGAATGACCTGCAACTAGGATATATGGGGCTTTGGGGAGAAAAACAAAAAGAGGAAGATTGGCAACAGATGTTAGCTCAGGGCCCAGCTCCTCAAAAAAAAAAAAAAGAAAGAAAGAAAGAAAGAAAGAAAAATGTTCAGGTTGACAGAAGATACCAGAAACAAAATCAAATGAGAAATGATAGATGGAAAATATTTTCAAGATGTGTGACAGACAAAGGGTTAACTTGTTTAGTAACATAAAGAGCTCTCAAAAGCAAATCTCAATAGAAAAATGGATAAAGGATATGAACAGGTCTCTTTTGTGTGTGTGTGTATGTTAGTTTTATGTGTCATCTCATCAAGGCCATAGTACCCAGTCATGCAATTCAACACCGATTTAGATGTTGCTGTGAAGGGATCTTAGAGATGGTGTTAACATCTACAATCAGTTGACCTGTAAATCTTCAACAACCTGGTTGGGCCTCATCCAATTAATTGAAAGAGCTTAAGAGCAAAAACTGAGGTTTCCCCAAGGAAGATGAAATTCTGCCTCAAACCTGCAGCGGCAGCTCCTGCCTGAGAATTTCCAGGCTGCTGGGCTGCCTTACACAGTTTGGACTTGCCAGCCCCCACAGTCATGTAAGCCGACTCCTTGAATTAACTCTCTCTTTGTATATATATATATTTCCAACTGGTTCTGTTTCTCTGGAGAACGCTGACTGATACCATATAATATATAACAGTTTGATAAAAGGTTGCTAATGGTCAATATTGGGTGAAATTTGGGGAAGCAGACATAATACATCATTGGTGGGAGTATGCATCAGGGCATTTCGGAGAACAATTGACAGTATCCATCAATGGTATAAAGGCAAATTCTTTTGACTCAGCAATTCTGTGGGTACACTTGAAAAAGCACACCAAGATATGTGTAC